CGGGGGGGGGGGGGGGGGAAGGAGGGGTACCTGTTGGACCTGGGACTGAGGTAATGTGCCTGCCTGCTGGCTCTCATGCTGTTTGAAATGCGGAGCTGAGCCAGGGGTAGCTGCTGGGACCTGGTGTGAGCCAGGATGCTAGTGTAACCACCACCAAGGTGGATTTGAACCTGGGAGCTGACTATAGGAGCCTCTACCCTCTGAGCTAAAAGCCAGCTGGCTCCCAGCCCCTGCTGTAGAGGTCTCTTGATCTTAACTGTTGCAGTGGTCTAGGTGCCACTTGCAGTACTCAGTAACCACACTAGGTGTGTGGGTTACACTAGCTCCCAAAATATTTTAAATTCAGGGTAGGAGGAGAAGATAAGCAACTGCTTATTGGTTAATCATTTAACTGGCTACACTGTTATATCCCTACTGGATGTTCCCCCTGAGCACCGGCTCCTGCCTGCCATTCCTCGCTGCCTCTGTGGAAGGCAGCGAGAGAGAGAGAGGTAGGTAGGAAGGGGGAACAGGGAAGGTAGCTCCACAAAGCTGGTGCTCATGAGGAGCCATCTTTTAAGCTGGCTTCTCTCCCTCCGAGCACTGGAGGCAGCGAGGAGGGCCAGACAGCTCCGCGGAACTGGCACACATGGATAGCTGACTTAAAAGCCAACTTCCTACGTGTACCAGCTCCTGCCTGCTCCCATTAGGGCTCAAGCAATTTTTTTACTTTCATAACTGACGTACAAGCCCAGAGATGTTGGGGCTATGAACTACCAAGCCTGGAGGTGTCACAGCTAAGGCCTAGCATAAATTAATCCCTGGTTATAGAACAATCTTAATATGTACATGTGAGACACTTTATTAATATTTGAGTAAGTCACTTTCCTTATATATGTTACGCATAAATGGAATTATCAGTTTTCACTGTAAAAATAATGAACAATATGGAAATGTAAAATGTATCAGAAATATAGCTTATCTTATTACAACTGGATCCATCCATTAGGGATGTGAACTGATAACCAATAAGCATCACCCTTAACAGGCAATGTTTACTAGGTAATGGTTAACTGTTATCTGGCTGCAGGCCACAGGCAGAAAGCTGCTCCATTCCTGTGGGGCTGCTGACTTCCAGTCCGTTGCCGCTTCTGGTCCCGCATGAGGCTGATGACTCCCAGACTGTGAGCCCACATGGGCTGGGAGCCAGTAGCCCAGCATGAGGTCAGAAGCAGCTGGGGGGGGGGGGGCACTCCAGGCCTCCTTACCCCCTTTTAATCAGTTGTTGGATTAAATCTAACATTTAACTGGCTAACTAACAAAACGGGATTTTACATCCCTATTATCCATCATATTTCAACAACTCTGGCATTTAAATTAATGACTTGTTGTAGTGAATGGAGAAAACTGATACTTGCTGTCTGATTGCAAATTAAACTGCATCAGTTCACATTTACAGTGTTTTTGTGCCTAGAAAATATTTTTGTAAATGGAAAGCTTACCTTCTTTGGAATGTGCCGATGTACCTATTTTCCAATAGTTTTCGTATCTACTGGATCTTCAGCTTTATTTTTTCTCCCATGTCTAGAGTTTTTTTTACTGTTCTTGCTGCTGCTTCTGACTTAAGTAACCCTTAGCTTTCTAGGTGTGAAAGCTTAAAACGCTAAGGGCTTGTCTAAACACACAACAGCATGAATACACTTATAATTACATTTTAAAACTGATTTTTGTTATGCACATGCAAACCCCTATGTGGATATACTTAAATCAGTTTGCCCCTAGTTTATACTGGTTTAGTTTAACTTGGTAACTGATCTTATCTGACCTTCTATAAAACATTAAGACAAAGAATCTTGCCCAGTAACTTCTACATCAAACCCCTGATTTATTTCAGATCTATAGCATGTTTTCACTAAAACATCCTGTGTTGATTTAAGTTGTCAAGCAGTGTGATTTTTGTGCATAGATCCTACTGGATTGTCTAGTTATTAATCTTCCAGGGGCGTATAGTTTTCTCAGACTGTGTAGTTTTAGTCAGGTTCTTTATCTGTTGTTATAAAGTGCTCCTTTGTTGTTCTCCCTTTCCCTCCTCTTTTTGTATTTGGTTGACGTTAACTCTGATACTTGTATAATGCCACCTTTTTTGCTAAATTGTATCTCAGTAGTCACGTTTAAAAACCTGAAAATATGTTGTTAGAGATAGCATTCTTTGAGTACTGTCCATGAATGCCTGGTTTAGTTTTGCCCCATGTCTTTACATGAAAAAAAAAATTCTTTATAGTACTGAAGATATTTCCTTGCTGGCTTAGGATGACCCTGGAAATTTGCCCTTTGAAATGTATGTTATGCTTTTGTTTGCATAATGCATTTGATGCTTTTGTAATATTTATGGCTTTCTTTTAGGTAAACCTAAATTTCAAGAATGGTGACCAACCCCTTGGCATGTGTCAGGAAAAATACATATAAGAGAACTAAATAAAGATTAAGGTATGGGTGCTTTGTCAAGTAACAAATCTGAAAAAAATATGCACTTGGAAATTGTTAAATTTTATAATAAAAGTCCTCGAGTTTTCTTGAAAGAATCATAAACTCATAGCAACGTAAGGCAGAAAGAGACCATGAGAGGTCATCAAGTCCAATACCTTGCACTGAGGCAGGGTCAGGTAGACCTAAAGTATCTCCGACAGGTGTTTAACCTGTTCTTAAAACTCTCCAATGATGGGGGATTCCACAATCTCTCTTGGAAGCCTATTCCAGTGCTTTACTATCCTTCTGCAGTAGATGGAAAGTTCTTCCTTGCTAAAGATTAAACAAATTACTACTTGTCCTACTGTCAGAATCTACAAATTATCCCCCATTCCTCACAAATTGTTTTATTTTTCCCCAAAAACTTTTTGTGTGACTTTGTCACTAGAAAAGTTCAGTTCTCATACAGTGATTGGCTATTTGGTTTTGATTACATGTTAAGATTCCATAAACTTTTCTTAAAAAAAAAATACTGTGGAGTCCAGAAATAAAAATGAAACGTTCTTAGCTGAACAGAGAATGAATTTGGGGGTGGTCTTGGGGAAATTCTGCTTTTCCCACCATGAACTAGGTAAACCATGTGCTGTAGTCTAGACCAGAGGTTCCCAAACTGTGGTCAGTGGAAAACTAGCAGATCACATGGCGGTGGTGTTTGTCTCTCACTGACAGAAACAGAATACTTAGAAGGGGAGACTGCATTGAAAGAAATATGTGATTAATTAGCTAAAACAATGCTATACTTGCTTATTACTTGGAAGGAAAGAGGCTGTTATAAGAGCAATGCACTTGGAAATTGACTAACAAGATTGGTTGGGAAAGGGCCGGACATTGTGCTTTGAGGTGAAGCGACTAATTCTAAAGGAAAGAAGATTTAGAGAAGTTAAATGCAGGCCAATTTCAGGCCTTTGGAGGTATGAGGTCTGCGGGACAGCATTGCTTTTTGTCAGAGAAATTTACAGAGGAAGCTCTTTCTATTAATGCTGAGCTTAGTTACACACACTAATGCAGGCACAAACTGGGGTATGCATCTTTAACTAGACCATGTTTTGCTAAAATGGCTAATTCTTCCCAAAGCATTTATATTTGAGCTCTTTGAAGTTTGAACTGCCCGCATGTTTAACATAGCCCAGTACGATGGGAGCTCTGCTTTTTCATATATACATCCTTTAGTACTTGTTTATTACTTTTGTCTACCCTGTAAAATACCTTCATAGATTGTACATTAGAATTAAATAATGTTAAAATCACTTTCCATATGATGATTGCATAACTAATAGCAAGACTGGAAATAGCCTGAAGTCTTTGAAGATTGCCTGTGAAACTTTGTACAAGGCATAGAACGTGCCAGGTTGCTGTCAGAAACCTGCAGTTCTGAACAATGAAAGTCTACCTATCTTTACTTTAGAAATCATGGCATACAAAGTTACACAACTATAACACATACAAGATTAGGACTGTAAAATAACTTGTTTTTCACTTCACAGAGATATAGGTCGGCCTATTTAACAATGGGATACAAATGTAGCAACAAACCCCTTCATCTCAGATTTGCACCGGAGTCATCTTCCAACATCCTGTCCACACTTAAAAGTTCTGCCACTTGAACTATACAGGAATAATATAAAAAAAGTCCAGCTGTGGAAGCAGTTATACGTGCAGGCTATGTCTACACTACAAGTTTTCTCGGCAAAAAAATGTGCGAACAAGGGACTCATTTGCATGAGTTGTGATCTCATTTGCATATTTTCTGCTGATCCGTTTTTGCGCTGGGGTTTTTGCACAAAAGCAAGCAGTGTGAATGTTTTCTTGTTTGCACAGAAACCCTTTTTCTGCTAGATCCTTATGCCCCAAAAAGGAGTTTTACCGATCTTGCGGGAAAAGGGGTTTTTGCGCAAAAAGAAAATGTCCACACTGCTTGTTTTTGTGCAAAAATGGATTGGCAGAAAATATGCAAATAAGATCATAACTCATGCAAATGAGTCCCTCATTGGCATATTTTTGCTGAGAGAACTCGTAGTGTAGACGTAACCATATTGAATGGAAATGAAATAGATATACGACCATAAAGTATCTTTATATCAGTATATCTGTGTCTATACAAAGACTTTCACTAGTAAAACTGTCAGATAAATCACATCCCTGAGTGATAGAGGTACGGGGTAAAGAGTGTAAATCATCGCTGTGTGTGGATCAGTTACTGCTATTATTTAAAACTTTCAGAGGAAGGTGCTGGATCAGCATACTTGCTTCTCCCCAAAAGGATTAATCTCTTTTTGTTAGTTCCTTTGCATTTGTTCTAGGATCAGTGACAATCAATATAATACAGAATAAAATTTACAGTGCGGTTTGAACACTTTTAGCATGCTAATGAAGTACCTTGTTTTCTCTGTAGCAAAACATGACATCTCCATTGTGGTTCATTTGCGGTTTAATTCTTTTTGTTTCTTCATTCAATGCTGGTAAGTCAACCATGTTCATTAACTGAATTATTTCTAAAATGAGTTATTTTCAATATGTGCATGAGTTTAGTAGCAAACAGAGAAGGCTGTCGTGCACTCTGCCATACCAAGAGTGTGGGCATATAAATTGAAAGCCCTTTTTAGAGTGTCATTGCATCAAAGATGATGTGGACTGCATGGTATGTGGCCTGACAGACTTGTAAATGTATCAAAATGTAAACTGTACAAATACAGGGAGAAATTTTAAAAACAACAGGTATATTAATCTTTCTTGGAAGTACTTAGTTCTAGAATGATGATACCCTTTTTATACTAGCACTGTTTATGATCTAGCATCTTCACCCCTCATATATGCAGTATCTCAGTACACTAGTGGTAGTTATTATAGGTGTTAGAGCTTTTAGGCTTATTCAGACTGCCATGAACAGTGATAGCTGTGGACCTTATGAGTAGGCAAGTCCTTGCTAAAGTCATAAGTTAAATCTTAGTTTTGAGGGTGAGAATTACAGGGCTGAAGACTGAATTTGTAATGTTATCACTGTATTCACTTGGAAGTTACAACTCTCCTTAACTTCTGTCATAGTGAAGAATGTCTTTAATTGGCGATGGAGTTGTAAGGACTCAGTAGGACAGATGCTGTTTAGCATCTCTTTGTAAAAGAGTGGCACATGAATTGTGCTACTGAAGATAATTTGCTTTCTGTTATCTATATTATCCCAGTGAATACAACTTCTGTGTTAAGTGAATAGCAAGGCTTCTATTCCTTTCTAAGAAATTAAATGACTCAGGAAAGCAATACATTTTAAAAAAAACCTTCTTTTCACTCCTATTTAAACTGTTACATATTTAAAATGTTGGCCATCTTAAAGGGCATATTAGTATGCTCCTGAAGTTGTGTGTAGTTTCCAACTTACTTGTGAATTGACTTAAAATTCTTAGATTTAAGTCCCTTAATAGAAATTAAGATGGCATAGAACAATATTGATCCAAATTGATTTGTACTCCATAGAAAACTAGTGAATATATTTTAAATTATTTGGCAAATTGCAGGGATGGGATGGTGGGAGGATCAGGAAGGACTAAACTGGTAAGTCGAAAATTTTAATTTTAAGGATCTATGCAGTGAAATATGGATGTAGTTTTCCTCTTTAAAACTTGTATGCCATGGATTTAGAAGCTTCTCAGGCTCAATTTTTATAACATATTTTGGACATTCAAAGTTACAAAAGTAAGAAAAATTGTGAAATCAGTCCTGGGGCCAACTGTTTATATGGCTGTGGTGAACCTAACCTCTTAGAATCTGCATACCTAAATAACAATTTTATCTTCAGTTGCAGGCTGAAAGCTTGCAGTTCTGGCCCTTTTGCTTAAAGGTTTCTTGCAAAGAATAGTGGTAGAGATGTAGCCGTGTTAGTCTGGGGTAGCTGAAGCAAAATGCAGGACAATGTAGCACTTTAAAGACTAACAAGATGGTTTGCTCATCATCTAATAAACCATCTTGTTAGTCTTTAAAGTGCTACATTGTCCTGCATTTTGCTTGCAAAGAATACATACTTTGCCTTATCTTGTTTCACAGTCATAATTATTGAAGTTCTGATTATGCTTGCTATGTCATATAGTGTAATGCACAAGCAACATTTGCCATATTAAATGAAAACTGGAAGTGTGGGGGAGACATGACAATTTGCATGGTTTGTCAGACTATATGCTAAGAACGAAGACTTCTTGTTCTGAATGTTTGACTCACTACTGACCTCATCTGGCCATGTTGCATAATGCAGAGTCAGATCTTTGTCTAGTTTGAGTTGACTGTCTTGTTCTTCAGTGCCAGTAACCACCACTGAAATGTCCTCTTTAGCCTGGATTTGGTCCCACCAGGTCAGAATTGAGTAATATTGGCCAGAGGATTGTGGGGAGTGAGGGATTTGCAGTGCCTTTGCCTGTTCTGCACTTACTGTGACAGTTACTGTATGACCTATCTATTGTCTTATATGAGTTCTAAAATTCAATGCTTAGAAAGAATACAAAATGTACGTTCTGATGATCATGAATTTCAGTGAATTTTATATATATTTGTATACCACTCTTTATATTTAGGCTGCTGGAGTTAAATATAACTGTTGTGTGATCACCTATTTGAAAGGGTGTTGTGTAACCGGAAATTTGTAAAAGTTCTGAAGTCCTCAAATGGAAGGTGCTAAACAAATGCAAACAATAATATAAGTAGTTATTGAATAACTTGTATCTTTTAACTGAATAATTTGTTCCATCTTATAATAAAATTAAGAAAAAATTAACAACAAGGCAAAAAATGTTGATTAACTTTTTTTTTTTTTTTTTTTTTTTTTAAAGAACATAGCAAGGCGCCTACTCATTTTGTGCTTGTAGGTGAACCTATTGCTATCAGTTGTCAAGGAGCTGACTACAATCGGACTTGGTATAGAAATGGTAGTGATACACCAATAACTACAGAAACACATACCAGAATCCATCAGCGAGATAACTTACTTTGGTTTATCCCTGCAACTTTAGAAGATTCAGGATTTTATGAATGTAACAAAAGGTAAAGGCCTATAATTTTACATAACATAAGAACGGCCATACTGGGTCAGACCAAAGGTCCATCTAGCCCAGTATCCTGTCTGCTGACAGTGGCCAGCACCAGGTGCCCCAGAGAGGATGGACCGAAGACAATGATCAAGCAATTTGTCTCCTGCCATCCCTCTCCAGCCTCTGACAAGAAATTATCTAGCTTCTCTTTAAATTCTATTATAGTCCTAGCCTTCACCGCCTCCTCTGGCAAGGAGTTCCACAGGTTGACTACACGCTGTGTGAAGAAGAACTTTCTTTTATTAGTTTTAAACCTGCTACCCATTAATTTCATTTGGTGTCCTCTAGTTCTTCTATTATGGGAACTAATAAATAACTTTTCTTTATCAGCCCTCTCCACACCACTCATGATTTTATAGACCTCTATCATATCCCCCCTCAGTCTCCTCTTTTCTAAACTGAAAAGTCCCAGTCTCTTTAGCCTCTCCTCATATGGGACCCGTTCCAAACCCCTAATCATTTTAGTTGCCCTTTTCTGAACCCTTTCCAAGGCCAAAATATCTTTTTTGAGGTGAGGAGACTACATCTGTACACAGTATTCAAGATGTGGGCATACCATAGTTTTATACATGGGCAGTAAGATATTCTGTGTCTTATTTTCTATCGCTTTCCTAATAATTCCTAGCATCCTATTTGCCTTTTTGACCGCCGCTGCACACTGTGTGGAAGTTTTCAGAGAACTGTCCATGATAACTCCAAGATCTCTTTCCTGATTTGTTGTAGCCAAATTAGCCCCCATCATACTGTACGTATAGTTGGGGTTATTTTTCCCGATGTGCATTACTTTACACTTATCCACATTAAATTTCATTTGCCATTTTGTTGCCCAATCACTCAGTTTGGTGAGATCTTCTTGGAGTCCCTCACAGTCTGCTTCTGTCTTGACTATCCTAAACAGTTTGGTATCATCTGCAAACTTTACTACCTCACTGCTTACCCCTTTCTCCAGATCATTTATGAATAAGTTGAAAAGGATTGGTCCCAGGACTGACCCTTGGGGTACACCACAAGTTACCCCTCTCCAATCTGAAAATTTACCATTTATTCCTACCCTTTGTTTCCTGTCTTTTAACCAGTTCTCAATTCAAGAAAGGACCTTCCCTCTTATCCCATGGCCATGTAATTTACAAAAGAGCCTTTGGTGAGGGACTTTAAAATGGAGGGATCATTGTAAAAAATGTTTCTAGATGCAAAATTGCTCTACAAAAAGGGAAAAATGATTACACCTAAATACAAAAATATGTTGATATTAATCTAGTGGATAGAGACTTTTACATAGTTGAATGGAAGCAGTCAGAGAGCTTTTCAGCTCTGGTTTTGATACTATATTGATACATCTGAATTTCTTCCATGCTAGTAGAACTTTGCTTAAAATTATATTTAATGCTTCTATAGTGGTTTTTCATCAGAGTATTTTAGTATTATTAATTAATTCTTTTGAGGAGTACATTTGTAAGAATGCTTTTTAACTCTATTGCGGTTAATGAATCATTTCACATTTCATTTTATAGTCTGTTTGACACAATTTTACTTTCTTGGTTTGATTTAGTGAATCAGGAGAATGAGAAATGTGAGGTGGGGTAAATTTCACCCAGTCAATCACATTTTAAAAAGAATACTTATCTATGGTAACTTTAAAATATTTTTTAGCAAGACGTGTAAAAGTATGAATTACAGTATCAACAGTTAAAGGAGATACAGCTTTCTGAAAACCAAGGCAGTATGGAATGACAGCTTTGCCAAATACTCTTTAGGGTTGAAGCTTTTTTTTTTTTTTTTTTTTTTTTTTTAAAAAGAGGTCAGATATGATTCAAATATATTTTATCCTAAAGCAAAGGAAAATTGTGATATCTATATCAGTATTTTCATAACTTCCTGATTTAAAATTGCTTTACCTTGAGATCCATCTTTAAGTGACCTAGCCTTCTCCATGACCAACCTTAGCCACTTTCCTTTCAGTTTCGCATAATTTTCAAAACTCATGTAAATACTAAAAGTAAACCATAAAAAAAAATTTAGTGTGATAATGAAAACAATTTTTTATCATGTTTCTCTCCACTGAATTATTTTTCAGACTATTTAGTGACTCTAGAATAGGGGTGGGGAACCTCCGGCCTGCAATGTCACATGAAGTTCGTCAGGGTTAGTCACTGGTGGGCTGCTGGATGGTCCGTTTACCTGAGCATCCATAGGCAGAGCCCTTCTGATCAAAGTGGCTGCTGTTTGCCATTCCCAGCCACTGGGAGCTACAGAAAGTGGTGGCTGAGCCTGCACTGCTTCCCAGAGTGCCCATTGGCCAGGAACGGCAAACTGCACTCACTGGGAGCTGCTGCGGCCCCAACTGTGCTGTTGGGGCTCCAGTCCCAACCCTAGCTAGCTTCTAGCCACCAGCCCTCTTGCCACTGGGGCTCCCTGCTAGATTGCAGGTATTGCCAGAACAAAGAGTTCCGGGTTTGGGAGGTCCAACATGTATTAATAATGGTCCAATTTGTTGCTCTTCTCATTACAGGAAATCTAACAGTTCTATCAAAAACTATATAGAATTAAATGTTTTCGAGAACAATGATGGCTTATGTTTTAATGGAGAAATAACGTATAAACAAAAAGTGTTTATGTCAATTGGAGAGACTGGTGGAAAGATTACGTGTCCTGATCTGGAATATTTTAAAGATGAAAATAATACTGCACCTGAAATACAGTGGTATAAGGTATTGTGTATATGTATTTGCACTGTAACATTTCCTATAATATAATTTAATGCTTCTAGTAAAGTAATTGTGCATGGTAATAAAAAACCCAGGATTATTTTTCTGTGTAATGTGAATGGATACCTAAGTTGCCAAATCGACAAGTATATTATAGCAAACCTAATAAGCATATACTTACATTTACAAAAAATCCAGTCCCTCTTTTTCCAAACCATATTCTAAAAGATTGTCATCTATACTTACAATTGAAGATAGTCCATAATATTTCAGCATCAGATATGTGAGTGTGATCTTTCTATATGATACTTTGATATGTAATTGGTTAAAAATAAGTAGATGAACATACTACACTTTTAATCGTGTGACTAGATAACTTTTGTAACTTATAAGGCTTATAATGTAATAGGACATGCTTTGTCTACTGAAGATTAAAGAAACAATCTGGCTCTTTACTTCGTTAGTGCAGTTTCAGCTTAAAAGAAAATCAAGTTAATCATAGCTGTTAAATTTTCTGCTCCTGTAACAGGAAAATATTTTACTTTTAGGCTACTTGTGCCTGAAAGGATGTAAATTCTGGTCCCATAGCAAGTTCGATTATCCAGGGGAACAGCAGGCCTTCTATGCAATGGTCAAAACCCACCAGATCTGTTATAGGGGATCCTTTGGCTGTGGGAGGGAGACAATGTGTATCTGATGGAGCCCAAGTTGAGAACAAACTGGCTGAAACTCAGTCTAGGCAGGACTGGGGAGGTATTGGTGGTCCCCTGAGGAAGCATCTAGAGAAGTGGAATATTCCTGTATGAATGATGGAAGGAGGAGTAGATACTCAGTCTCATTGATGATAGGTAGGCATTCAGCTTTAGGAGTGCTTTACACATTGGTGTCCAAATGTTTTGTCATATGCAAGTTAGCACAATACTTGTGGGTGGCATACAACTCAGATATAAATCATCAGTGATCTATGCATTAGTTACCAAACTGGATTATAATTTATTCTTGAAAATCAACTAAAAGCTAGTAGGCTTGTGAATGATTAACCGGTAAGCATCACCCTTAATGATGCTGGCCGGGCGGGCCACCCTTAATGGGTGATGCTTAGTGGTTCCGATTAACTGGGGAGGGCTGGAGCACCTGCCTGCCCACCACGAGCAGGGGACTGCTTATCCCTGCGGTGGACGGGGTGGGTGGGTGCTCCAGCTCAACTGGGCTGAAGTGGCCACCCCACCCACTCCCCCTTTGATTGGTTAACTGGTTTAAATGTAAAGTTTACCAGTTAACCAGTTTTACATCTTTAAAAGCTAGTGTCACAACAGTAGTCCACTTATTTAGTGGGGCTGGCTAAAAGGAGCATGCTATATTGAGCTTTATAGACTCTACCGACTCTCTATTCGCTTTTAGATATGATTTTAAAGATCAAGAATTTGAACTGTAAATGTCTTTTGGGATTCAGTTACTGCAAGAATTATGTCTTTCTGCATTCACCATGATTAGGTGGGAGGGGATTCCTACAGTGCTTTAGAAAAAATGGGGTTTAAATGAATACTCCTAGAAACACCTCCTTGCTGCATTTGGTGGGAAATTAAAGCAACCCATCACTTAAAGGATACACAGTACATTTAATATAATGCCAAAAAGGATAGTTCAGCCATGGTAACATTCCTTCGGACTAGGGAAAGGGGTAAGAGGGAGGATTAGAATAGAGCGGGAAACTGTTCTTGGAAGGTTCATTGGAAAACTTCTTAAATAGTGTTTTTTTAACTGGAAGAGAACATAATGAATAATCTTTTCCAGAATAAAGGTAAAACAAAAAATAAAATCAGTTAGTTCAAGGGTCTAGTTATTCACTGCCATGAAGAAAGACTTCAGTTCTATTCATGGTCTTTTAGTGTAGGTTGAAAGAACATAGTTCCTGCAAGGGTAGTTAAATACCTGTGCCAGCCAACTAAGAAACCATACTAATATATGCTATAAAGTTTAAATATCTGGATAGATGTCCCAACTGGAGCTGGCTAAAAGTTTTTGGACTAACTCTTTTTTTTTCTTTTAAACTATGGATCAACTAAAACATTTCACAAATTTGTGTCTAATTCACTGACTTGTTTTAGCTGTGGAAAAAAGCTGCATTTTTACTTTTTCAGAATGAAATGTTTTAATTTTTCAATTCAAAATGACTTGTTTCTGAATAGTACTCCTATTTTATTTATTTTAAAAACCCTGCCAACTCCTCTAGCAAAACATTTCACTTTAGGGCTTGACAGAGTCTCTTAAAATAAAATAATGTCTTGTTAGTGTTGCAGTACCAAAGCTCTGTACATTAAATTGGCAGTTAAAAAAATCATTGTCATTTTTAGAGACTGTTTGGTAGTATATATACTTTGGGCAGGGAGTCTTTTTTAACTGGAAGAGAACATAATGTTGTTACATGGTTCAAATAACACTTTTTTTGTGGGCGGGGCTGCTTTAATAATCAATATGTATTAGTACTCTTACATCATAGCTATTTTTTTGCTTTATTTAGGAATGTAAGCCTGGATTACTGGACAACCACCGATTTCACTCTCCAAAGAATGAGAATTCTCTTACAATTAAAAATGCAACTATACATGACAAAGGAAACTACACATGCCAAACAACATATATCTATATGGGAAAACAGCATAATGTTTCACGAACCATTAATGTAGACATTGAAGGTATTATGATCTGATTTTTTTTTAAATCTTTGGCTCTCCAGTGTCTCATTTAGTTACTCCTCCTCCTCCTCTATGAGGGAGACCAATAGATCTCAACAGAGAATGCCGACTGGCTCTCAGAGAAAAGGAGGAAATCTCAGCCACCATCCGAGTAGCAGCACTAGCTGATGCTGAGAAGGAGAGCATGACACCTAAAGAAGAATTGATAAGGGGGTAAAAAAATTAGGTGTCTAGGTAGCTGAGAGGGAAAAGGTGTTGGCTTTGGTGGAACTACTAATGGTTATTGTGGAGGAACCTGAGTAGGGAAATGCCCACAAAGTAATTTTATGCCTAAAACAAACTGACAGAAATTCTCAAGGTGTGTGTGGGTGTGAAAACCACAAAAGCAAACATACTGGAAAACTACACCTCACAGCTTAGATGATTGCCTTCCTCTCAGGAATTGGCTAGAATCACTTCTGATGGAAAGGGAGAGGTGGCAGGTGCATACAATAGCTGACTACTACAAAATTGCTACCAGTTGCATGACTCTTTTTGCAATGAGAAGTTAGTTCTAAATCTTGTGCTTTCACCAAATGGAAAATGCCTTAGTTTCAGCACTAGCTGAGGGGACGGGAGGCTTGCTGCCTGACTATCCTGAGACCTGCATCCACATTAGCATAATGACTACCATGCTGTGATATCAAATGCTGATTGACATTACAAGACCCACCATGAAAATAACCATTCTTCCAAAGAAGAAGAAAAAGGCTGCTTGAGATGAAACTTTTCATCTTCAAGATTTTTGATTTGCTGATTTTTTTTAGTTTAGGTACTTGCATAACATTGGTTGGTGTTGTATAAGACCTAAATAGAATAGGATTCTTTACCTGTGCTAAGAGGACAGCTATTACTTGCTGAGGACTGCTCCTCATTGATAAAACATACAAAACAATACAATTCCTGCCCACTATATACTAGAACAGCATTTCTTAAAGTATGTTCCGTGGCACACCGGAGAGAACAGAATTAAAAATGGCTGCCCTAAAAGGGACAAGCCTCCTTTTTTAATTGGTTTTTTTTTCTTTTGCTCAACAACTTTTCTCCGGGGCCTTTTTTTTGGTCAACAACTTTTCTCTGGGCAATGGCCACCTTTAAAGGGGCAAGCCTCCTTTCTTTTTATTGTTTTTTTTTTTTAAGATCACCCAATTCCCCGGGGGCTTTTTTTTTTCCTCAACAAAAAAATCCTTGGTGTTCCCCATTAAAAAAATATATTGTTTGGTGTTCCTCGGTCTTAAAAAGTTTAAGAAACACTATACTAGAACCTCCTGTCCAGGCATTATTTTATCTAAATAGATAAAAATTCATGAAATGTAGTTTTGAGGTGGACATGCAAGAAGGCAATGGTTCCTCCCTGTTTTTCCTGAGTATCATGAGAATTTTTTTGTATTAGGCTTCTTATAGCTTTATTATGCTAGGGCTGATAATATTTTCTTAGTTTGATCCTAGAGTGAACTTCTGTAACTAAATAACAATGTCAATTCATTATTACAGATATTGGATATTTTGAAATGAAATGCATTTTGTGTATTTAGTAACACAATTGTCAAGTACCAATAAAATAAAACTATTGTAAAACTAGAAGTGTAGCAGTCGCAATAGCTGGGGTAATGATAATTGGTTATTAACTTTTTTCAAACATTTTTTGTTAGAGGGCCCGAAGAATACACCACCAGAGATTATTTATCCAAAAAACCATTCAATTGAAGTAAAACTTGGTAAGTAGTTGCCTTGTAATAAATCACTAGGCATAGAACTGTAGTGCTAGATGGGAACTCAGTAGGTCATCTATTCCCTGTGCTGAGGTAGGACTAAATATATTACCTAGATCATCCTGACAGGTGTTTGTCAAACCTGGTCTTAAAAACTTCCAGTGATGGATTTTCAACAATCTCCTTAGGTAACTCTCTTAGCTACCCATACAGTTAGGAAGCTTTTCCTAATGGCTATCCTAAATCTTCCTTGCCATTTAAGTTAATTACTATTTGTCTTGTCCTCAGAGGATAAAGAGAAGAATTTATCACCCTTCTGTTTCTAGCAACTTTTGTATGTATTTTATCATGCCTCCCCCCTCCCCCCCCACTCCTCTGGGTCTTTATCTTCTCTTCTCCGGACTAAACAAACACAATTTTTCAATCTTTCTTCAAACACCATGTTTTGTAGACCTTTAATCGTTTTTATTCTCTGCACTTTCTCCACATCTTTCCAGAAGTGTGGTGTCCAGAACTGGACACGGTATTCCTGCTAAGGCCTTATCTGTACTAATTAGAATGGAACACTCCTGCTAATAAATCCCAGAATTATATTTGTGTTTTTGTAAGACTAGTACATTGTCGATTCTCACTTAATTTGATTCACTATAACTCCCAGATTCTTTTCTGCAGTATTTCTTTCTATGCAATCATTTCCCGTTTTGTATTTGTATAATTGATTATTCCTTCCTAAGTATAGTACTTCACATATGTCCTTACTAAATTTCATTCTATTTATTTCAGACCATTTCTCCAGTTTGTCAGGATCATTTTGAATTCTCATCCTGATCTCCAAAGAGCTTGCAGCCCCTCCTAGCTTGATTCCATAATAGCAACCTTATTTGATGAGGATGGCTGTCTGGAGCACTCAGTCTGGACAAGCCAGACCCCACCACCCACCCCGGCCCCATGGTCCAGTGATCATGTGAATTTGGATCCACTGGCTCCCAGGCTCCATCTTCTGAGACCATTCCAGCTTTGGATTGAGTTAGGACTGTAAAGGAAATCAGACATAACCAGGGCAAATCCCCTAATGGGTACTGCCAGTAAAAAGTCTTAAGTTACCTCACTGCTCCCATTTTAAAGAGACTCCATTTCCCAACCTGGTACCACAGGAGCTTGAAGGGAGCATGGCACTAGGGCTGTGGCATGATCTTGGGAATAAAAATTAACTGCCTCCAGTACAGAGGCCACCATATTGGTAGTTACCATAATAACACTGTGTGTTTTGACACCAGTTGAGGTATCAGCCTCATTGGTACAGCCCTTCTTGCCACTACGCTCTTCAGCACCAACTGTGTCACTATTGGGCATTTCCATACCATCAGCCCTGACACCCTCTTATGCCACATCCAAGTTTGCAGCACCGTCCCAGTTGATACTTTCTCGGTATGCAGTACTGAGGGATCTCCAGTTCTTGAATGAGTCAGAATCTCCTCTGCTCTCCACTGGGCTAAATGTCCCCATCATGGTACTGATGCTCAAGGACTCATCCCCAGTGCTGATGGTCCGTAGAGCTACTGTGCAAATAAAGCACTCTGACTTCAGGGGAGTGCTCCTCTTTATCTCTCCCCACCTCCTCTTAGTCCCCCACCCACCAAAAAAAAAAACCTCTGGAATGCTTATATTCATCTTCTGACTCTCAACAAAGTGCAGAGGGATTTTTCATTTTATTCTCCATAGACATTTTATTATGATATTGTAACTGAGAGGGAATCAAGGGGGATTAAGTTATGTGAAAATCTCACACGGGATGTGGGAGTAGGCATATGACCAGATACCCGTTGTGCCTTCCTTCCCCTTTTCTGTATAATGTTCCAGCATGGCTATTTTGAAATCCCTGGCTGTCCTCACTGCCTAAGATAGCACATCTCTGCACCACCTTTTAGAATGACAACTTCCTCCCCTATATGTTCCCAGGAAACTTAGAGTCTCTTGAATTTTAGCTCTGTAAGGAGTTTTCTGAGGAGGAGCACTCCCTCAGGTTGAAGATCAGGCAGTTTCTGAGGCTATACTGTCCTGATTCTGGATGAAGTGCTAGTCCCCTTCACCTCACCTGCATGATAACAAGAGCTCTCCTGATCTGTCCATAGAGCTGATTACCTCAGAAAACAGGTGAAAGAGGGACAAAAATCTTTCAAATGTTTGGTGATTCCCTATGCCTGGTTAGTTGGCATTTCCCTCTAATGATGCTCTCCTGGAACCTGGTAAACACGAATGGCAGACACCCTAAGGATAAACTTTCACTTAAACTTAATCCCAAATAGGTTTTGTGATGTAATAACAGCAGTTATGAATTAGTTTGTATAGATCCCCAATGCAGATTAGAGTTTGGACTTCTGTGCTAAGTGCACCTATTTTCAGCTACCTGGAGTTTAAGCCATACTTTTACTAAACAATATTTCTTGGTAGAAGCATTGAGGTCTAATGTTGCTTTTGGCAGAGTTGTACAGCAATCTTCATTGAAGCAGATTTTGACATCTACCTCTTTCTATTGGGTTACTGCTTGTGAGACCCCCAACAATGGAATACATATGGACGAGCATTTAAAAAAACATTACTTGCCTTATAATAGCTGGAGTTCTTCAGGATGCATTGTCCATATGTGTTCCACGACCTGCTCTCCTTCCTGCCACTGTGGAGTTCTGTAACATCTGGATTAAGCAGTGGCAAAGGAATTGAGGAGCAACTGGCCCTGCTCTACCCATTATGCCCTCAGTACAGGAGCACTAGGCATCTCAGGATGCATGTGCAACCTCAATGGACATTGATGGCCAAAAGGTGTTGGTTTCAAGCATATCAGTAGAGTGTGCACCAAAAGTGCTATATACAGTAAAACCTATGCTATCCGGAACTTAAGCATCCAGAATACTAGAAACTGGCAAATTTCTGACGCTGGGAAAAGCAAAGCAAAAGAAAACAAAACAAAACAAAGGAAACTGGTTCTTTAAGTGCAGCACTTACCTGGGGAAGGGGCGAATGGCAGCCAGAAGCAAGCAGCAAGCATCTCGGCTCCCTCTGCGGCTCCTGGCACCCCTGGCAGGCCAGCCCTCTCCCCCTCCATCACCTGTGGCTTCCCTCCTGACAGGCTACCCTCGCCATCTCCACCTCCCGGCTTCCACCACCCTCACCAGGCCGCATCCCATCCCCTCCCCCGTGGCTTGTGCCCCCCCCAGCAGGCTACATCCCAGCCCCTGCACGGCTCCTCCCTTTCCCTCCTCAGCTAACCTCAGAATGTTTAGGTTACCAGCACGCCCTAATCCCCGGGCGTGCTGGATAACACAGGTGTTATTGTATATGGATAGCACACCTTTAAGAGCTATAGTTGCTGTAATGTAAGTAACTGTGTTTCCCAACTTATTTACATAATCATATGCGCCTGCTTGCTTATGATATGGGAATTTTAATTGCCACTTTTAAATGTTTTGTAGGCTCTCATGTCATCATGGACTGTAATATATCAAGTAGCATAGGTTCTGTGACTCCATACTGGCAAGTCAATGATATGGATGTTAATGAATTTGATGCTTCATATCAAGAAGAATTCTATGAGTAAGTATTCTTACAAATCGAATTGCATGTTGGTTAAATGTTGGACAAAATATTGTCTAATCATAGAATTGTACGACTGAAAGAGACCTCAAGATTTTATCTAATCTAGTCAGGTGTACTTGTGGCAGGGCTAAGTATTATCCAGACCATGCCTGATGTGTGTTTGATTAACTTGCTCATAAAAACCTCCAATGAATGATGCAGATTCCTCAACTTCCCTAGGCAATTTATTCCAGTTCTTAAGTGTCTTAAGTTTTTCCTAATGTCCAACCTAAACAATCCTTGCTGCAATTTAAGCCCATTGCTTGTTATCCTATCGTCAGAGGTTAATAAGAATGAGGTTTCCTCCTTCCTTGTAACAACCTTTTATGTATCATGTCCCCTGTGAGTCTTCTATTCTCCAGACAAAATCAAAGCAATTATTTTCAGTCTTCCCTAATGAATGCTAGAAAGTACCTGTACTTCACGTTCAACAAGTTTGCCATGCATTTAATAATTATCTATTTATTTTAAGAAATGTATTAAGACCATCTTATCAAAATTTTGGAAATTCATAATAGCATGACAATATTTGCACTCTATCTATCGAACAAAGGCTGCTCTCAACTAGCCCTCTGGAAAAAAAATTGCCAGTGTGGGAACAATTCATTATACCTATGATAGGTGTTTCCTAGAGACAGTTTTTTAAGATCAGCCGCTCTACCTGTATGTACACTATGTCCACATTCATAAATCACATTACATCTGCCACTGAATAAAGTTAAAACTTCATACAACAAACATTTTCTTGTTTAGAACAGATTGGCACATTCACTATTATGCAGTTGAAAAACTCAAATGGAAAAAGTAACCTAGAAAAAAATAGAGAATTTTAAAAGATAATTACATTTCAAAGGGACATTTTATCTCTAGCTGTTCTAATCTTTCACAGGGAAGTGAGATGCACTGTATTCAACACTTTTTCATGAGGTGAGCCACAGTTATGAACTTTCTTTTTTGTTTAGAAGTAAAATACACCTTTCAATTAATTCACATCTACCTGGTAAGGTTTCTTGTCTCTGCAATATGCAGGCATCAGTGTGGTCATATCTATCATAAAACAGGTTATATTATCTAGCACTGCTCATTCCGCCTACTGATAGTGAAAGTGGTCCTGGAAAGGAACCTTACATCGCTAATTTTTAGACTGGTTCACTAGGGCCTAATGCTGGGCCCTTCACGCTCCTCTTAAAGTCAGGTCTGGCCTTAGGGACCCACTAGCTATACTTGCCTCCAGCTTGAAGGACCCTCCCATCACTGTAGACAGATGGTCCCAAACGCGGTGCCTGCAGGCGCCATGGCGCCCACTGGACCATTTCTGTGCGCCCGCTGAGTGATCAGGGTGCACGGCAAAGGGGCAGCGCCAGCCCTGGGCGCGCAGCACATGGGTGGCCCCGCCCCCAGGTACATGGTGCATAAGCTGTGCCGGCCCCAGGCGCGCGGCGTATGTGCATCCCTGCCCCTGGGCACGCGGCACAGGAGCGGTGCCGGCCCCAGGTGCGCGGCACATGGGTGCTGCTGACTCCTGGGCATGTGGCACATGTGCGGCCCCACTCCCGGGCGCCTGGCACGTGAGTGGCCCCACCCCCAGGTGCCCGGCTGACCCAAAAGGTTGGGGACCACTGGACTCTTGAGAGTTAGATACAGGCTTTCTCTGAGGGTACGTGCTGAGCCTCTACTAATTGTATTTCGTATAGCATTTTCCCTCAGGATTTTGAGGATATGAAGTATAAACCCATTCCTTGGGAAAATTGTCATTAAATTTAGTTTTACTTCATCCCCACACTCCTTGAGGTTTATAGCATGAGTGATTTTTGTTGTATTATAGCAGAGGTGGGCAAAAGGGCCTCCGTGGGCTGGATCTGGCCCGCCAAGCGGGTTGATCTGGCCCACGGGGG